ATTCGAACACAGTTTATGCCAGTTTTGAGCAGTTCTATATGCATTTCATTACATTTCAATCTCTGGATAATTAATGTCAGTGCTATTCTTATTTTGAGATAATTGTTGGTAATTCTATATGACAGTGTCAAAATAAATACAATTCATTTACAATGAAGTCTGATTCTCGTTTTATTCTAATACTACTATTATTTCGGTACAGTTGTGGTCATACAGTCCAATTATATTTCGATTGTTTGTTACTACACTGTGTCTTTTGATTCAAGTACTTAAATATGCGTTCGGAACGATCTATATTCCAGTTTTTATTCAATTTATCGCTTGAAAGTCAAACGGAAACTTGGCTCTTACAGTCGATGAATAGGTTCATAAGTATTTGACTGTGTCGCTTTTAGCAACTTGAACCTGTTCTGATAAATGCTGTTTCCTGATTGATTAATTCGCTTCAATAGAAGTATCAATGAAAAAAGACAAGCTAGAAGTCTTTTTGTGTTAAAACTAATAAAAAAATAGTTAGTAATAATTAATAAGCAATTACTTTTGGGGAAATTTACCGTTTGTCAATAAAAATAAGTTTAAGGTTTAGAGAAGAAACGTGAAGGTTATTAAACTGCGATGAACATTTGTGAGTACATATTTAAAAATATATACTGATAGATTGGAAATACCCGTTAACGAATCAAGAAGTCATTTTATTAGTATTTAGGATGTTTTAAATTAAATTTATTTTTCGTCGTGATGACTTACTATATGCGGTTGCTTTTTGAGGATAGAGAAACACCTTGATGTCTGTCTAGTCTTACATAGTGATCGTATAAGTGCAGATGGTGTTTAAGCCTACATTACTAAGGTTTTGATGTCAAAGAAGCTAGGAGACTGAAACAAAATAAATAGTAGACAATACTAACTAAAGGAACTTGGTTAGGAACCGGGTCTATATCCGGCACAGCTCATGTACAAAGCTTTACTTTTTCTACATAACTACTTTGGTAGTCTTATGTTTTCTGTCTCTTCCTACGTTCAAATATACTGTTTCTCTAGACCCTTTTGTTGGGGATGATAGATGCCCAGAAATTATTTGGTAAAAGTCTTATTTTTGTAATTTTATTTTGGAAATATGAATTTCCTATTCCCACTCCAAAAACGCCCATTTTTACTTCCAAATTGTATTTCCCACTGAGAAGGACCATAAACGTCATCTGTTTGTTTCTTCTTTAAATGCGTTATTTTGTGACGTTTCCTAAGGACATTTTTATACTGTTTATATACACTTGAGTTGTGTGTTTGTTTGTTCATACTTCCGGTCGCTCGTGGAATATTCTTTTCCCTTTGCTGAATTTGGTCTTCCCCTTCTAGTTAACAGAGCTGTGGCGCAGTGAGTAGTTTAACTTGTGCTGTTGTTGTGTTGTTGATTCACGTTCTGTTCGCCGGTGTAGCCAATATCGTAATCGCCTAAAACGTTGTGTATTTGTAGTCTTCTTCCTTGTTTGTATCAAAACTATCTTCAAAACGATCGAAATAATTCATGGCAGTTCTCTCTCTTCAGACTAAGCTACTGAAAATATATAAGCTAAAATCTAATGGTAACTAATGTTATTGACGGACATCTGATCTGGCAGAGATTTTCGTTATGATATATGCTGTCCGGCTGTCAATGATACAAAGTGTATAAGACTTCAGGATGTGAATAACTCGTGCAGTACTGCGCATAATCTAAAATTTCTCTATCTTAGTCTCTAATCTTAAAATCGTTTCATAAGGTGTTCATCATAGCTTTTATTGGACTCATCATTCAGAACTTCTTCATAAAATAGTCTCTGTTCCTTTTTTAGATTTATCGGAATGGTTATTTGTTACTGTTGGTGTGTCTATAAAGGCACTTCCAGTCTCTGAATCACTTAGCTTGTTTTATAGATATTACTTAGTCTGAGTGTAAAATCTTCCGGTTAAATACTTAAGCTACATTTGATTTTCGGAAATCTAAATCTAGCACTGTGAGGTTATTACTTTTGTAACAAACAGCATCAAATCATATCACCCTAGAAATACTGAACTAAACCAATATGACATAATTTTCGGAACAAAATTAAATATATTGCTTTTGTAAGGGAGAATAATTTTCACATTTGAGGTACTGACCTTTTTGTCTCTTCTACGAAACACGTAGTTTTCTTGTTTGAACATACTTAGATTTTAATTATTTCGCTAAAGACTACTTACATCAAATAATCCTGATAAGTTTATCATGTTAAGGCTTATGGCTAAATAACCAACGTGACGGAAAGTTAGTCAAAATCTGTTCGGTATGAGATCTAACTTGAGGTGTTACGAGGTTAGTTTGAAAATTTGACAAAACTAAACTTCAAAGTACGTTTATGATTAGCTTTTAGTTAGTTGATGAATTAACAAATTTTGAAACCAGTAATATAGTGAAAAATGGGTATTTTAAAACTAGTGAGTAAGATTACTGTCTAGATTACAGATATTTTAACAAATTTTTTAGCAATAGTGTGCAACAGATGATTATCTCTAAAATCAAAGTACTTTTTAAAATAAAGACCCATTTTCTCGAACTTCAACCATGTTCCTGATGAAGTTTCTCTGTAGTATGTTTTTCATGTAATGACTTTGCAAAGATCTGTTCGTTTTAAAGATAGTTTTCATTATAAACTAGTATCAGGAAAGGAACCAATGAAAACTAGAAAGCATCGGACAAATTTAGTGCCGTAATATAAAATTTATCAAGGGAGAGTACATATAACACCGTGTAGAAATTAACTTACAAGTTTCCAAGTAATGTATCAGTGTTAACTTCATTATTTTACTCAGTTCAAGCACAGTTGACCACATTTCTTTCGATTTCAACCAGCCTTTGATACAACACTACCACCATTTAACATTATTCCAGTTCCAACTTTTTAGCTTTCATAGGCTACATCTTGCCATTAAAACTCCTTTGGATTCATCAGAATGGAAATCCTTAGTAGTTACGTTTTTTAGGACAGTGTTAATATTATATCTTTTCTTTGGATATGATTGAGGGTGCATGAGTTATAAAGTAGTAATGTAAAATGACAGTTGACCACTGCTTCATTATCCTAAATGAACTTGCTCCAGATTTCATTCTGTGATGAAAATATCGAATTTTGAATGTGTTAATTATTTAGACCAATATTTTCTGAACTATTTTTGAGGGTATGTGCAGACTTTCCATCCATTTACGGACATCATCCAAGATAATATATTCAACTTACATTCAACTTACGAATTATAATCAATATAATTTACTTAGCTTAATAAAAAATCTGCAACATCTAGTTTAAGTATGGTTTTTATTCAAACTAGAAAGATACATGCTTTGCTGCCTATAAAGGAGATTGTACAATTAGTATATAATGCATTTAGTGTACCATCATTCCATAAAGTGTTAAGGAAAATAGTAGAAATATGATTTATGAAGAGAAATTGGTTTGTGTCGAAATGTAATTTGACCACCGACAGTAAAAATTAAAACTCAAATTTGAAAGCGTGAGTCAATTGAAGCTAGACTACCATGGAAAACCTGGAAGCACTGAACGGTCGTTTTGTTCTATTATGGGACTCCTCAGCATTGCGCATCCATGATCCCTCACTCACGAGATTCGAACCCAGGACCTACCAGTCTTGAGCTAGAGCCCTTAACCGATAGACCAGGTCTTGGGTTCGAATCTCACGAGTGCGGGATCTTGGATGCGCACTGCTGAGGAGTCCCATAATAGAACAAAACGACCGTTCAGTGCTTCCAGGTTTTCCATGGTAGTCTAGCTTCAATTGACTCACGCTTTCAACTATGAAAATACTAAATCTCCACAAAACCCCTTCTGAAAGCTCAAATTACCAATGAAAATAATTTCACAAATCTTGACCTAAATATTCATGATTCAACAATGACAGATAAGTTATTGTTAAAATTGCCTGATTAAATGTGTTCAGAAAACTCTAAGTTGGAATTCGACAGAAAATTATTGTACTTTATTACGACAGGTATAATATATATTGAAACTTTAACTACGGATTTAAATGCATTTCACACAACTGAGCTCTGTGAAGGTTGGTATATAATGATTACTTTTCTAATCATTGTCATTAGAATGATACAACGTTTAGAAAAAGTTTCTAACATAGACTGCACAGGTAACAATATTTCAAGACATATAAGAGCATTGACTTCAACCAGAAATAATGTAAAATCAACGTAAGGTAGTATAATTTGAGAACAAATATTTTAGTCCTTTCCAAATACTTATGGTATTTATGAAAAACTTAATGAGAATCTATGTGTTAATAAGATAATATGAACTGCAATAGCATATAGTGGGTTCCTTCGATAGAGTACGTCTATGCGAACAAACGATGAGCAATGAGTAAATTGAATTCTTTTTATTTCCATGCTTATGTCTGGTCTTATAACTTCAGAAATAATGTAAAAAAATGTTCATCAGATGGGAAAGAAACGATGACCTATCCAGCTGTCGGATTATCTATGTATTAAGTAACAGGCTATTTTTCGTTTAACAAACTTTAGCATTTCATAAAGTTTACTTTTCTCAACAACAACAGATCTATATTCAAATCTACTTAGTTTTATATAAGTTTTTATGCTGTTTGTAGAAGAAATATAAATTCTGATAATAGAATGAACTAGTTTCATTCCTCGGATCATGTTTATTTTGCTCTAGTGAAACTGAAATCTGTTTCTGTGAATGTGTGGACCAATATAGGAAAGTGGCAAGAAGAAACGTCAAGTCTATTTTTTGAATGAGCTGGGTTTCTTGTACAATAAATAAATATCGTTTATCAGAATGCGGTACTAGGGTAAATAGGGTAATTGATGGTGAAATGTTAAACAAAAGTAGTGCTTCAAAATATCTATGGAAGAAAATAACCGGCAATATTTCTCAGTAAAAGGAATGGAGTACTGAATACCGCACAGCTAATAAACGGTATACGTCAAAATCGATATTTTCTCGTTCCCTTCATTACGAAGCAACAGCAAAGGGATGTTTCATATGAAATGTCAGAAGAAACATGTGAAAGTAAAAAGACAATTTATAATAAATCGCTTATTTCAGTAAATCCAACTATTTACAGTTTACGTGTTTATTTACATCCATTATTCGATTCTCAGATCTGTTGATTCAAATCAGGGATCATGAATAGATCTGCTAATCGAAGTGCTGAGAGCTAGGTAAACATTGAAGTTATTGAAAACACTCACGTTCGATTGCACGAAATTTGAAATATACTGTACTGAGTTTGTAGTATATTTCATGTCCTATAAATAAGAAAACAGAATAGCAAGTCAGTGAAGAATGAGTCATATGAACAACAACTAATGAAATAAAAAGCAATTATAATCACTAACCCCAAAAAAGAAAATATTCATACCAATATAAATTAAATATACTTCCTACTTCTTGCACAAGCTGTTGGCCATCTATAATCAGTAGATCAGTGGATGACATGCTAAGCATTTGAGGTAAAAGGCACTTATTTACAGTCTCAATATAAAACGGAGAAGGTTCCACAGGGTTCTCTTATCCGTGCTGTCGAATGCTTTCTCATAGTCAAGGAAGTTGATGTATGGTGACGAGCTTCATTCAAGTGATTGTTCAACAGTAATCGGCAGTGTCGCTCTATAGTTGGCACATGACAGATCCTTACGAGAGCCAGGTTGTTGGCCTCGTAGTTGGGCGTCTAGAGAATCTCTCACTTGGGTCGACAATATCCTGTCAAGAACTGTGCCTAGTACTAACGGAAATGTGATTCTTCTGTAGTTTTCAGATTTTTAAAAATCTTACTTCTTTGGTACCTTTCAATCCAGTTTATTTATTTGTGTTTATCTTTCTGGATTTTTACGAAGAAAACATGGAGCATCTTCTCAGTTGTTCCTATGTCTTGGATTTAATATAGAGTACTGCGTTAATTGATCGGCGATGGCATCAGTCAGGGACAATTTTTATTTAATGTAACTTTTAAAATGCTAATTCAATAAGAATTCAAAGAAATAAAGTTCGCAGAATATATTTGTGTATTTTTGTACATATTTAGGAATTCCTAATAGGAGAAAGTCATTTGATTGATTTAGACATGGTTGACTAAATAGAGGAAATCGACAAATTAAAAAAGGAGACAAAATAATGACATTGGTGACAGTCATTGAGTGTAGCTTCAAAATAAGCAAAATAAAGGAAAAGTATAAGTTAATACTAAGATTAAAGATATGAAAAAACACATTAGGAATGAATCTATTTGAGCCACTTCGGCAAATTTTAAAATGTGGTAACCGAAGTATTACATTGTGATTATTTTTCAGACCTCAAATAAGATCTCATATTTTCAACACGGATCAGTTCAACGATCATTAACTTAGTAAAATGATGTCATTTCTTGATGTAGTCATTCATAACCTTATCTAGAACTAATTCTACCCTAACACACTACGTTTGCGTAAGTATTAATCATGTTGTATATATGTACAAACCTTCATCGTACTATTCATTTCTTAATCTATTACCCTACGTCCAACAATAACAACACGCTTCTGGTGGCTTCGTCATCTGTAGGTAGTGGTTCGATGATATGAATGATCAAATATTAGCGAAGTTAAAATTCTTAAAAAAGCCAAATTTGATGAATTAGTACTTCGTACAACTAATCTGAACATTTCCGGTACTAAAAAAGGATTAATACTCCTTTCTAAAATCTAGGATCCACTTAGTTTTCCAAATTCCTGTCAAACTACTGACAGTGATTATGAATCTATATGAACATACCTTTTAAAAATTTCAAAAACGCTGATATGTTCATCCGGAAAATAGGTTTTATTTCTTGTTCGTTGACGTAATTCGTGGTGAACAACATACAGCAAAAGTGGTTTGCCACCTGATTGAAGTGATAGTTATTATCAATACATATTTACGAAGTTCCCAGAATTTCAAGGAAAGGTATGTTCATCAAAAAGCAAAGACCTAAGGAATATATATATATATATATATATATATATATATATAATGGTAGGTCTTCCTTTAAAATTTAATATTGAAATGCATAATTGAACACTTTGATGCTCTCCATCCTTTCAAAGCAGGTTTAATTTTTACAGAGATTATTGTTGCACCAACTGATTTTAGTACGCCTTTACCCTTTTCGAGTTTGATGTAAGCCCAAGAACTATTAGATATTTTACTAATGATCTACTCTCACTTACGTTTAAGTAAAACATCAGATTGGTCAATGTTATTGGTAGATACAGGTTTTGGAAAATATTTATCTTCCGGTTTTATGTGATGATTGACATGGATAATTTTTGGTTGTTTATTAATTGTAGAATAATTACGTTTTCTTAATTCCGCATGACTTAACCAACTAACCGGACATCTTTCAGGATCTGAACCATCACTTAATTGAACATTCCATTCACAAGGAATTTCATACAGAAGATGCTTGTATTTGAATATGATCATATTCATTACATCCTGAAATGCAGATAAGTGAAACCGAAGTGTAAAAGTTATCGGCTAAGTTTTATTACTTTCTGAATAATAAACAAAGCTATTTGTTAAATTATATGAGATGGATTCGTTATACAGCTAAGAATTCCTTTTATCAACATAACACCTGAATTGGAATATTACTATAGAAAGACTGAAAATACTGTACTATAGTGCTAAATTAACTTAATATTACTAAATTTTCATAGGTAAATAAATTCCACTATCGAAATATCTACAATACCTTATCTTAGATTACACATGTGAAAAAGTTGAAACTGGAACACGTTCTCTCAATCTACAGAAACTAATCCAGTACCAGTTTGTACAAACAATCGTTTGACTCGGATTTAATTTTTATATAGAAGTTCTTAAATAGGAACATTGAGAGCAGTATTCAATGTAGAATCGATGTGAATTACTAATTATGGAACCAAGTTTATACAACACTCTTGAATTTGGACGTAGTCTTAAAATTCTTTACTGTCAAAATTTTGGGGATTTCAAAGTTGTGTCGAGTTTGTAACGACAAGATGTTTACTACTATTGATACTAAACGCTTTGACAGATATCAATACAGTAAAATATTTGCGATATCGAGTTCTTTTTTTAGATTTATTACTGATTATAGTTTGTGATTCAAATAATGCTATTCAGTTTTTCATTTGTAAGATTAATAACATTTAGATTGGTGTGAAACGTAATTATAATCAAAATTATATCACCCATTAGTTGCAAACATTCTTCAGGAACCAATATCAAATTATTTGTAGTTATCATTTGAGAAGTAAACTTTTCGATTTTTATATTGTAAAAGAAATAGAAGTAGGAAAAGAGTTCATAACGAAGTCTTTAATAAGTGTAAGGGAGTTTCTGAGAATGATGTAATTTGGTTTCTCCACAGTAAACACGTTCTTTACAAGCAAAAACAACTTATTAATAAGGCTCACAAGCATATAATCAGGACAGTTTTATTACCAAATAAAAAGAACCATATGATGTAAAATACATTGGAATGAACAACCATGTAGTCGTATCTACGATTATTGACAAAATCAATCTGCATAACAATGGTAAGGAAATATCTTCAGTAGGGAATTTATCGTGTTAAAAATTTCATGTGTATTTGTAATACGTTTCGACTCACTTGCTCTCCTGTGATTAGGTATCCTTTACTTTGCATCAAGTGTGCAGTTATGCTCAACCATATATCATTCCACATCATCAAACGTAATTTTGACAAGTCGAATAATAAAATCCCACCATTATATCCATAACCCTGAAATAAAAATATGAACGTGACTTTCTATATTTTGCGTTGTTAAAATGTTTAGTTCATTTATTAGTTTTAAAATTTACACTTGTTGTATTAGTTCTATGCATGAATGACCGATATTAACGTAGTATCGTTTTACTCGGAAATATGTATTTTGAAACTGATCACTTGAAAAAGATGACTGTTTTGGTAAAATTTGCTCTAAGCGGTGTTCAGAACACGATATATTTATTCATCTTACTCCTGAGGTGTGTTAGCCATTTGGTATGTAATGAAAATACATGCAAAGATATATAATATTAAGAATAGTTGTCTTCAAAAGCCTCTGCTCCATATTTTGTATTCATAGATTCATGAAAAATGTTTTTTCAGTTATTGATGGAAGGCACCGCTTTATGAGTAACAAAGTATCGCAAAAATAAGTTAACATGTTTACGTAGTTCTATTTAAGTGCATATCATCCTGGAAAAATAAGTAAGTGATCTGTCGTGAAACTTCTCAAGTGGACGTGAATAATACATCAACAAATAAATAATACGTCAGTTGTCTGTATTAAAAATCTGGAACTAATGAAAACTGGAACTAATGAAAACCTTTATAATGCTCATTCAGTCCTGATCTAACATTCGATGAGCATAGCTGATGGTGAACAATCACACGTTGGACACTTTTGCATGTTGCTTAACTATATGTCCATCGTTTTCATTAAAAAAATCTTTATTGAGTGAATTGTAGAAATTAGTTCAGTATGAAAATATTTTTCACACGGACTGATGTTAAATGTGTACTTAGTTATGAATAACTCCAACATCATAATTTTGAATAAATTGAGCATTGGGTAGACTGCTATAAATAAATTAATATATTTGTAATATCCCAATTAGTAGAAAGTCTGAGAATTACAGAGATATCAAAGCCAGGATCAGTTTTCAACAGTTGTCGAACCTAATGAAAGGTTAAGTAGACGCACAATTGTGAGATTAACAGGCTGAATTCCATAAGGATCTATCATTCATAGATCAAATGGCGATCATTGTTGAACAAACAAATTTTGAAAAGACCAGGATTTTCAAAGCGAGATCAGTATTCCTACAATTATGGAACGTATGGAACTCAAAACAACTATCAACCAACATCAAAGTCAGAATCTTCAATACGAATGTCGAGATATTTCTACTGTACGGAGCTGGAACTTGCAAAACTACTACAACCATCATCAAAAAGGTACTAGAATTTGTAAACAATTGTCTACGCAAGGCGCTGAATGTCCGTTGACCGGATACCATCAACAACAACCTACTTTGGAAGAGAACAAACCAGCTTCCAATTGAAGAGGAAGTTAGGAAAACAGGTTAGAGCTGGATAGAACATACATTGCGAAAATCACCAAACTGCAACACGAAGAGAGAGCCGGCTAGGGATCTTGAAGAAACTGCCGGAGAGGAAGACAATTAAAGATATTGAGTCGGGAATCGGTAACAAAAATCAAAAGAAGTATAGCATTTGGAGACAACTGGAAATCACATCCTAGGACAGAGTTGTTTGGAGAATCCTGGTAGGCGACCTATTCTCCACAAGGCGTAACTGATCTATGTAAGCAAGTAAGTAAACTGATTTGATCTGAAAAATGTGACCTAATATGTGGAGGTTAATTTCTTTTAAATATACTTTGTCAATACTTGTCACTAAAAAACTACCTAGTTCGTCAATAAAACGAATGATATATATTTGTAGATGTAAATTCACGAGGGTATCAAAAGAATATTCTCATATTTAGAATGCATTATTAAGCATCACCTAATGTGAAGTATTTCGAAAAGAAACTTGAAGTGCATCAAACTGTTGAGCTTTAAATAATTATATGATCAATAAATGTAACAGAACGTTCACACTTACTTTCCAATCACTAATTAAACTTTTCATAACTTTGTGAAAATACGGGTTTTGTTCCAATCCAATGCCTATCATCTTTAAAAAAGAAACAAGAAAACACAAAATATTACGTACCAAATACGATCAAATATTTCTTCAAAATATAAAATAAATTTGAGTAGATCAAGAATAACGAATTCATTTCTTTAGTGAATTCTATTCAATTGTGTATAACTTATATACAGTAGTAATGATAAATTAAAAGCAGTATCCATACATTATAATCTACTGGTGAAAATTAATGGTAGGATAATAAATATGAAATTTACTTAGTATTGCCACTTGCACAAGCACAGGAAAGTACCTCACCATCCTGATGGAAGATCTAAACGCTAAAGTCGGAGTGGACAACACAGGATATGAAGATATAATTGGACGACATGTACCAGGAGAGAGATTTTCTAATCTATGTGCACTCAATAAATTGGTTAAAGGCGGCACGATCTTCCCCCACAAACGCATACAGGGGTCTCACCGGACCACACCACAGAGAACCACATAGATCATATTTGTACCAACAAAAATTTCCGAAGGACAATGGAAGATGTGAGAACAAGGAGAAGAGGTGTAATAGCTTCAGATCATCACCTGGTTGTGGCCGAGATGAAACTGAAGAGGAACAAGTGACAACGGATTGGAAAGAAGGATACCTCATCAAGATACCAAAGAAAGGAGATCTGAGCAAATGTGAGAATTACAGAGGCATCACACTATTGTCAGTACCAGGAAAAGTTTCCAAAAGAATGTTGCTGAACAGGATGAAAGACGCAGTAGACGCTCGACTTCGAGATCAACAGGCTGGATTCCGTACGGATCGGTGGTGCACAGACCAAATTTCGACACTATGGATCATCGTTAAACAATCAGTTGAGTGGAACTCGTCACTATACATCAACTTCATTGACTATGAGAAAGCGTTTGGCTGTGTGGATTGGAGAACATTATGAAAACGTTTTCAACTTCCTGAGAAGATCGTCAACATTATCCGGAACTCATACGACGGACTGCATTGCAAAGTCGTGCATGGAGGACAGTTCATAGATGCATTTCCAGTAAGGACCGTAGTCAGACATAGCTGTCTACTCTCTCTCGTCCTCTTTCTTCTGGTGATTGACTGGATTTTGAAGACTTCAACATCTGACAAGAAGCACGAAATGCAGTGGACATTTATGAACCAATCAGACGATTTGGACTTCATAGATGACCTAGCCCTCCTATCCCATACACACGAACAAATACAGATGAAGACAACAACCTTTGCATAAATAGGCCTCAACATACATAAAGGTGGAAGCAAAATTCTCAAATACAACACGGAGAACACCAACCAAGTCACACTAGATGGCGAAACTCTGGAAGAGGTGGAAACATTCAACTGTCAACTTATTTCAAAGTGAGAATCTTCAATACGAACATGAAGATAGTCCTACTGTGCGAAGCTGAAACATGGAGAATTATCAGAACCAAAGTCAAGAAGGCCAAATAGTTATGAATAGTTGTCTGCGCAAAATACTCAACATTCGCTGGCCGGATACCATCAGCAACAGCCTTGTGTGGGAGAGGACAAACCAGCTTGTTGCTGAAGAGGAAATTAGGAAAAGACGTTGGAAGTGGATTGGACATACATTGAGGAAATCATCAAACTGCATCAGAAGGCAGGCTTTAACTTGGAATCCTGGAGAGAAGCGGGAAAGAGAAAAGCAATGAACACATTACGCCTTGAAATAGAAGCAGATATGAAAAGAATGGATAGCAACTGGAAAGAACTGGAAAGGATTTCCTAGGACAGGGCTGGATGGAGAATACTGGTGTGCGTCCCATGCTCCTCCATGAGGGGTAACAGGCGTAATTAAGTAAGTAAGTATAAATTTTATTAATTATAATAAGCCAACTATTAATTACACCGACATTTTATTTTCGTCGCTTATTACTTATCCTCGAAAAAAACGAGGAACCCTTCTAATCCCCACGACGCGAAGTAACAACACATTAAGATTGGTACAAGGGAAGGTTTATTAACCCCAAAACGCGACGACGACTCTAGTCAAAAATACACTCATCAATTTATTGATTGTACATCCATTTTGATTATTAATTAGAATGAATTCACATGGATGAAAAATAATCAGAGTTATAACGAATCACATGCTACGTGTCATGCTGTGCATAAATAATGTTAATTTAATACAAGAATATCGTATCTTGAATAAAGATGACAGTCAAATAAATTTATGGCATACCGAATAAAATATCACATTGGAAAACAGAAACAAATACTACCCCGAATGATCATCATGTTGAATTAAAAACGGAAGTAATATTGAATCAAAAGTCATAATGAGTAAAAGAATGTAATTTTGCTTTCTAATCCCATCAAATCATAAATGAAAAACATGCGTATGGCATTCGGAAAATTCACATCAATTTAGGACTTAGATGTTCTTTTTTCAGTACTATGGTTACATTTAGACAGATATAGTTTCATATTAAAGCTTGAGTACTCTCTTTGACAAGTGATATTTGTTATATCCTAGTGAAGTATGGGTAACTTCTGGGATCTATTAATGGACTAATATTCTATAAATACTTGTATTGTATAACTATTCAGTAATTAGTTTGTGTGTATCTACATTCATCTTATTATAAGCTTCATTTCGACCTGTAGATTATTATTATACGAATTACTGTCCCTAAATTATATTCAGTTTATTGATCACTGTATCCCATGTTCACAGTCACATTTTAGCTTGATCTTGTACAAATGTTATTCCCTATTTTGTAGTGCGATGTGGCCTGTTTTGTCTGGTATATAAACCAAGTACGCTTGAAACAAATGGTCCGCGTGGTTGAGGCTGTTATTAATGTTCTGGGCTCAACTGGAAGGGCTAGGCGGATATAGGACCAACAAGGACGCTTGGCTGCTCATATCGATCGGACGTCATTGGTTTGTCGCAGTGCTAAGATTGGAAAAGTCGTATTCTGATTGGTGAGTAAATCACGTAATAAAAAGCCGGCCTTTAAATTCACAACAATATTATTGATGATAATTCGATTTTTCAAAATTTTAGTGAAAGTTTATTGTATGTAAGGAATATTCCTTGTTACGACTGAGAGTTTATAGTATATGTATCTTGTCAGTAGTATGTACAGTGTTGACTACAATATTTGTATTGGGCTTTAATGTTATTTGTACTTATGAATCATGGGAATGTGAAAACTAAATCCACATGTTCTGAGTAAGAAAGATATTTCACAAAATATGTCATTAGGTAAAGTAATTTTTGTCCATCTTCTAATACTCTATCTTGTTATTTTTCCAAGAAAAAATACCTATGTAGTCTATGTTTATCAATTCGCACCATGGTTTAATATTCAGTTAATGTATAGAACGCTTAAAACATCAAATATGAAACTAAACACTGCATTTATATGAGTAATGTGTCTTTTTTCAGCTGCAATAAAATTTCACTATCCAGTCTGAATAACAATGATCATAGCTCTTTATGATTTAGTATTCAATCAGTAGTATTCAATCAGTATTCAATCAGCAGTATTCAATCAAAACCTTGTTAATCAAAATAGTATTAACCTTGTGTGAACTTGTGAATCTGACGGCTTTTGATCTCCGATTTTTCCTAATCACTTCACTGATCTCCACGTCACTTTCTCACCCTAAATCTTGGACAAACTCACTTTTAGTGGAGTTTGTAAAATATGTCATTCTATTTGTTACTCCTGTGGATTGTACAAATTGACAACATACATTTTTGGAAAATTTTTGATTTCATAACCACATCAGCTTACTCTTTATTGATTAAATGCTTGGTAAAATGGTGCTTCAATATCTATAGTTATATCTAGTTTTCTACTGCGTAACAAATGAGCATAGTTATTATACACCAGTGACATTCATAGAATTGTCATCATGTTCTTTATTGGCTGACTGATTGTGTTCCGACTCATACAACCATTGATCTGTATTTCTGCGAACTACTTGGAGAATTCACAGACCGTCTATTACAATCTATATTCATTTCATTCAACTAGTTTCTAGAGAAACACTTAATCTACTTTCTTTCAAATTATACTTTAGTATTTCAACTTTTAAATAGTTAATTAAGCTGAGTATGACTTTCCAAAGAAAAAATAGAAATACAATTTGTGTGGTAGTATTGAATACTGAGTATGACAGATTGATAAAAATTGTCAGTTTGTAGTAAAAAGATCGGTTGTACTGAATTTGAGATATTTTCAATTCACATAATTTGAAAAAATAGTGATCAAAGAAAAACTGTTAGCGACCAAATTCAAATGCTTTTCAGTAATACTTTTTTTCATTGAAACTAAATTCACAACATTAAACATGCACCGATAAATGGATTAGGATCAATCGCTAGAAAGAGTGAAGTACTGAAATCTCCGAAATAATAATACAGACAATGAGAATGGTGAATTTCTTCATAATTTGCTACATTCTATATATCTATGATGCGAATAATTTGAAACATTTGTGATAGATTCACTTCTGCTTATGTTAGACATGGTCGAGTTAAGCCTTAACTAGTTTTCAGTTAATACAAAATTACGCTTAGAAAGTCTTAAAATAAAATAACTAAATATCAGAACCAATAATTCGAAATAAAAAAAATCAGAACTCTAAATCTTTGGAATTGCATGTAACTAACCTGGGTTTCTTGAAATCTCTCGAAGTGATTCCATAGTTCAACAATGTTAGTGTTAAGAATCATATCGAGATCAAGTACAATGACCTGGAACATAAATCAGAATTATCGAAAAAGATAATTGTTATTAAACACAATAGTTTGTTATAACGTGGTCAGATTACTGTCAGGATGAACATTTAAGGGAATCAATCGTCTTGCTAATTGTTGACTACTTAAAACAAAGAAATTTATAAATCATCACTATTAAAAATCTCCGAATTTTCCTCTCTCAAGTCATTAAAAAATCCCTTAACAAGTACCATGCATTTTAGTAGCTACCTTCTAATCGATTTTCAGTTTAAATAGTAATCAGTTGATAGATGTCTGGATTCATATATGTAATATCAGGTCTTAGTTGAAAAAAGCCAACGAGAACCTCATATACATATTCCTGGACAACATGTATCTGAAGTATGAATAAAATGCAAAGTCTATCTGAGATCTAAACATGTATCTCTAGGAAATTATTAATTATCTGATCTCACAGATTTAGTTATTCCCATTCTCATCCTAAACTTTTATTTCGGTTGTTGAAATGGTTATGGAGACAGAGACAACCTTTATGAACATATTGAAGTGAGTTTCCTAAGCTGAACATTAAATGAAATATGTAGAATAAAATATCTCGATAACTTTGGTCTTGAAATAACACAAAACGAGGTAGTAAAGTCTTCGTCTAACGCTTTTCTGTCAAATTCACCGTTAGGAATTTTTGCGGATAGTAAAACTTAAACCTAAATTCCATAAGCCTTCGAATTATATTTTGCTTTGAAGCATTTGACGTGAACTATTAATCTTACTTTGGTTTATGTCTGGGATTATGAAAGGTAGTATTTACTATTCTTGTTTATGTAAGTTTAATTATTACAGCTATTAACAAACTACAGTTCATGTTTTAAAGTCTCAAGTTGGTTTCTGGAATATACTACTGTCTTAAAGTCTTAGGGTTGTACAATTCAAACTTAAATACATGGTAAAAGAAGAATATACAGTGTTCTTATAAATTTCATATTATTTTTTCAATAAACTTTGTTTTTATAGTAGCAAGAGTCGTTATTGTTTATTAACTCGAAGAGTTAAGATGATGGGTCATTTCGTTGATAGGATAATTTAACACGTTAACTATATATCGTCAAGATTGATGAACTCAAATTTTCTCATTCTTATATTTGAATTCATTAGTCAATCGAAGCTAGACCACCATGGAAAACCTGGGAGCACTGGACGGCCGCTTCGTCCTATTGTGAGACTCCTCATCAGTGTGCATCCACGATCCTACCTCACGAGATTCGAACCCAGGACGTATCAGTCTCGTGCGCTAACGCTTAACCTCTAGACCAATGATCCGGCATCCAACGGTGTTAGCGTCTAACTTCAACTGATCCACGGAATAGAGCGACACATCCACCATTGTTTTCAGTGAGTTACTATCTCATAACAGACCTGGTAGAACTTCACTGGTCACTGCTCAGTGGTCTAGAGGTTAGGCGCTAGCACGCGAAACTGATAGGTTCTGAGTTCGAATCTCGCTGGGCAGGATCGTGGGTGCGCACTGCTGAGGAGTCTCACAATAGGACGAAGCGGCCGTCCAGTGCTCCTAGTTTTTCCATGATAGTCTAGCTTCGATTGACCCATGAATTCAACTATAAAATTACTAAAATCTCCACAAAACCTCTTCTGATTGTTTATTCTTGTTCAACATCATCAGCATAGCGTTTATTTGTGCTTCTTTTAGATATGACATAATCTGAACAGTTTCATTCTACTGTTCTAATAAAACTATCCTTCAGAAAAGTGAATCTTGTGTGACTAAAGAAAGAAAATCATGTAATACAGTAATATCTCACAATATATTTTCATATGTGCACATCAATTTTCTCGGAAGTGAATTCATATGAAGTTCAATCATTTACTCAAAACCTATAATTTTCACAAAACTTAGTTTGCTAAATACCTACACACACAATAAGATAAACATGACAGTCTAGACACAGATACTACTGAAGTAATCAATTAGATGATACATAAACAAAGATTATCGTTTAGAAAAAAGATAATGTTCAGCTATCCCTGAAACGCGACATTTAGTTTCTTATATTGTGTTGTACAACCAAAAACTAAATTTCACAAGCATCAATCCTAGTTCAATCGTTTCCATGACTTAAGGGAGTTTTAAGGAAATGTTTTCTACTGTTGAGTCAGCTCAGAAATGTGGAATTACAGTTTCTAATTAAAATTGAAATCCTCATAATAATATTAGGTACACTTATGCTACCATTGAAACAAAATTGGAATATAAAACTAAATGAAACCTATCACCGGTTATTTATCTCTTACTTTGCTTTGCGTATTGTGTTGGAACAGACATTTAGTTGAAAATGAATTATTTAATAAATTTCATAGCTTATGCCGCTCTATTATCATAACAACAGCTATGCTATCTAATCCAAAAGATTCGTGGTGATTATTTTTAGCCATTCAATAGGATATTAAAGTAATTTCTTACTTGGTGATTATGCTGTTGAACTACATCGACAATGACATCACCCTGACAGTTAATTCAATTACCTTCTGTGATAAATTTACGTGGACAGCTGATATAAATCTTCTCTGATTCGAAACAAAATGAATATAGAATGGCTTAAATGAAAATGTGGGTGAAATGTTGGCTGTCATTCAGGTAAACCAACATAAATCCTTATGTTGAATTCTGCTAGATGCAAGATGAAAATCACATGCTAATATGTCTTGTCATGGTCATGCCAATAAAACTAATATATATCCGGAAAAAATTACAGTATAGATCAAACAGGTTTACGAAATACGAAGATATACAGTCAATCTTAAGAAAGTGTTTTAATCATTAACTGCAGAAATTTATTTTTATAGTTTTGCTCATCATTCCCAGTTTAAATATATAGACAGTGACAATAAATTAACGGGGGGTATCTTGGAACTAAGAATTAGTTCCCACGGCTACTCAAACGTTTTCTCATAGCTCATTTTGTAGTTGTGATGTCTTAAATTCGTCTGCTACTATTTGTTCTATCGAAAAGCATTACCGAGAAATCCAAATCAGTAAATGAGACATTCTTAGATTTGAAAAATACTAGCTGGTAAAGGCTGATATTACAGTACTCTAAAATTTTCGGGGATTGTTATTTTCAGTAAAGGTCATACGGAAAATCATGACATCGTGAAGTAATCCTTATTTTATTTCACAAATTGTCTTGAGAATATTTCTACCATCTGACAAGATATTTTCCGGATGATGTCTTAGAAATTATTCTGTGCATTTCGTGAGTATTTACAAATATCAAGATCCTAAGAGAAATTCTCTCTACCTGAATAACAATAAAAATATTTATATTTTTATAACCAAGTTTACAAAGACTGAAAGTAAAGGACTATAGTAAGTTTAGCAGAATAAGTATACCACACATGTTTTTGTTTCATCAAGACTTAAAAATCTTTTTATTTTTAAAGAAACAATATGGCTGTTGTTTCGAAGCAATCTTATCTGGTGGACCTTCAAGATGGACTAATAAAGGACCCTATTCTATCGCTTTTTCATGAATCATATGACTGCATGACTATCAACAAAAGATATCAATTAGTCCGGTCACAATATTGTATCATAAAGCAAACAGTGACATACTTTATGTACATAAGGTGGGAGAATCTCAGGAAGTAATAGTTTCACAAATGGCTTCGCACCTGCAGGATGTTTAGATACGATCCATTGAAGTCTGTCCTATAAAAGCATTATAGATTATACAAAAAAAACAAATAACATTAATCGCATTCAACCCATATTACTGGAGTTTCTTTTAATTGAAAATAGGCTTGAAATGATGTAATGTTATAAGTGTAAAATGATTACTGAGAAAAAAGTTGTTTACTTATTCTAAAAAACAAAACAAACAATACTGCGAAATTTAATTTATTTTAAGATTGCTCACCGAAGAAAGAAGGGTCGACGCATATTTGTGAACATGATTAAGTTATCGATTTAGTCACATATGGTAGTTTGAGCGAAATTGAGCGAAGTATTGATGAAGTCATGGCAGTCTAATACGAAACATTCAGTTTTTGTGAATATGTGAAGTAATTTTGTCGTGTTATACTACCACAATGAACAAATTGTCGTATGTACGTAAGTAGAACGAAAATAAATTCATCACAGTAGATATACACGTTTACTGAATCAAATTAAACACTGTTCCATCTACAATCAATCGTCATATTATCGTCAGCACGCTTTCATAGCATTAAATGTATGAAGTATATATATATATATATATATATATATATATATATATATATATATATATATGCCATACCAACACTCAGTCGATTATTGTTGTGACTCTGGAACTGAACAGCTTTTTTCAACGAAAAGTGGCTCAAAATAGTTTTAAAATTTATTCCAGAACGCAAGGTATATCAAAATTTATAACTTATGACTCCTTGATACATGGTTCATAAGTGTGGATGTTTGCTTTATAAGACTCTTGGAGTTTAAATAGTTTCATGCATCTCCTGTAGTACTTTTAACAAAAAGATTATTATTGTTTTGTCCCAAGCCCCTTCAAAATATCACGTGACAAGATCGTTAATCAGATCACCCAATTATACGACCTTGGGCTTATCCCAAACTAATACCGCGTTAACCAGCAAGAACAGCCTAGAATCAACTCTGAGTCCTTATTGTTTATCCTCACCCAACCCTACACGTTTGAGTCCAGAAAACAAATCTCAGCTTCCACTGTATTAATTGTATATTTCAGACGTACTTAGTTTATACACAGGCAGACCAGACAACAGCATACCATAAAATGAAAATTAATAATTATACCAGATCAAGCCATACATAATAACAGTCCATAAACAGTTCCTGGAAGTTATCCATAATTTAGTCTTCTTCGGATACAACAATTTTCATTTTCTGATAATAAATAGAGCACTCATCAAATGGAGTCTGATAAATGTTTTGAAATCATAATCGACGTCGAGTCTTGAGCGGATAAGCTTGTGTCCAGTTCACCCAAACAAATTATCATGAGATAAAATGAGCAAGAAGAATACTAAAGATATCGAAGTAATTGTAATAGAGATAATAAAGAGAAAGACTTAATATTGAGAGTATAGTTTGAAAAATGAAATTAAAAGGTATTTAAATAGGAACACTGGAGTTCCAGGTCTGCAACTGACTCTGAACTTTAACACCCAACATTTCTAATCACATATTTTATTGATTACGCGGACTCTATTAGGTGTTAAGTTACTCCAATTCTAAGTGCGAATTCATTGAGAACTTATGCATACATTTATGCAATTGATAATCATAATTATTTTCACTGTTAATTTTATAAACCGGAGGTTTAATCAAATAATAACATACGCCATACAATGATGAATACTTCATTGTCTGAAGCAAAACTTTTGTGAATTAGTTTGACTGAATTCGTATTCTGTATTGCACTGACTTTATGGCTTTTGATGAGCTTAACTTTCTACCTATTGAATAACCAGTACTTTGATTTCATCCTCGTATATCAATTTATTCTGTATGAAAGGGTAGTATACATTTAAAAGAGCCTCAGTAGAAGATTATTGTAACTTTCCCTTGTTGTAAGATTGATTTGTTTTATAACATCAAACTTCTAAACATAAATCGTGTCTCACATAATTCACCAAAGTTTGATCCTCTTTCGGCATTAGGCTTCAGTTCAGATTTCAAAATGATTTCAACTCTACTAGGTATATGCGAAGTAGCTGATACACGAATACCATTTGAAGACTGATCACCCTGTAAAAGTCTTTAGATAAAGTATATTTCAAATAAATTAGTAAGCTTGTCAATTTCTGGTTTCATTTGAAATTTTATCTATGATGATTTACTTCATTTTTATAAATTCGACATTCACATCACTATTCACCATGTTATGTGTGGTACTACCAAAGTTCTAAGATCAATTGTTGAACTCGATTTACTTATTCATTGTTATATTTTTAATCTTTGAACAGTACTGCTGATGATCATCATGTTCGAATTCAAAATATTTACATAATAATTCGATGTGTTTTATCGTCATTTAAATAGGTAATTACCAAGATTTTAAAATACTTCATCCAGTAGAAGTACTTATGACTTCCGGAAAATACTTTGACAGTAGTAAGTGTATTAATAATAATAAGTTTAGACTTTTGAAATAATCACTCTCAGTTACCATAACCACCCCTTGATCGGTACTTGAATAAGAATATGCATTGGTAATTAATTTATTACTTTATTCTCATTTTTGTCAAGTGACTAGAAACTGATCTCAGAAACAGTGATTGTTTTGCTTCACCTGGCTATTTAGAATCGTTTTTAAGAAACTTCTCATTCACCTAACGATTATATTTCACTTATACTTTCTTTCAGGTAGAAACTATTTATTTCTTAAATCTGTTATCATACTTAGATAACAGGATGCGAATACTATCAAAATAACAGTTACATAGACGATAAATTCTAGTTAGCGCCTTTGAATAACCGGTTGAAGCAAAGTATAATATCTAGATTTCGCTTATCGTTTATGCCCATTAAACATGATACAAACATTTAGGTACTGGTTAACATTTGCTTAACAACAATCGATAATTCCCATCAGTGTCGGCAAACCAATCTTTATTTCATTCCACTGAGTGTAACAACTAAGTAGCTGCATCGGAATGAATGAAAAGTACTGTATAAATTTACTTGAAAATTTCATGAAACAATGTTCTACATTGGCAAGTCACTTGATGACAAATGCCTTCATTTGTGGAAAATTGGAACTTTTGTTTGCTGATATGAGATTAATGAATTATTAATTAAGCACGTACGTTCAAGACAGAGAGTTTTAGTAGATAATTCATTAGCTTCTACAGATAAGTGTTCATCATTATGACAAGAAAGAATAGACAAGTTTGTAGTTGAAATTTAGATAAATCCGAGATTTTTTCAAATGTAATTTCACAAACAGTGTCTTCTAAACACTCGGTGTCCAATTAACGTTAAACTGTTCATTCAAATATTGACGAGTATTCGTCTAAATTATATCTGTCTTAGTTACTAGTGGTAATCAATAACATGAAAAATTGTTTACTGCTTTTAAATTTTGCAGCTTGTCAACATTGTCCTATTTAAAAGTGTATGACTCATGTTGCTACCATTAAAAAACCCCGTAAACTCATTGAATATAAGGTGAACAGACAAATTCGAATTTACAGTGCTGGAGGCTTAAAACTATCATGTTAACTAATATCAGTGTAATAGCATATTCGCCAAATGTGGTAACCTAGTATTTCTCTTTCTTCAATTCCCGAAAGGATATCAGGCAGTAAGGCGATAATCAATTACTTATTATCACAAATTTAAACCTCACCTGTCAACTGATCCACTTCATCTAATGGGTTTACAAGAAAACTATGAAAATAACAAAGGGGATTGAAATAGCGTCGTAAGAAGGTGAAGATAACTACAAATATGTGATATATCAACGCAATTCATTTCAGTCTGATCACAATTCATAAATAGAAAAAATAAAGGTCGGTTGAACAGATCACAAGAGAAAATCAGAGATGATAAGGAAAATAATATAAATCATACTACTGGATGATAAAAACTTAATATCGGAGTTGGTTGACTGCATGTGTGAAGTGTCTCTCAACACACAAAGTGAGGTTGAACTTTAAAGCCTGAACATGTACCAAGAACGACTAAACCAACAAATAAAATCAAGTAACCCAATAAAAGCAGATGGCAGACGCCATCTCTCACCATTGCTAAACTATACTAAAACAAGTCATATCATTGATCTTAACTCAACCTTTATGGTTTTGCACAGAAGTTGTCTAGGGAGAATGCTTATGTTGAGTGACGCCTTAGCCATACGGAAGTTTGACTTCACTTTGTGTGTTCAAAGACACTTAACATTTGGAGTAAACCTACTGTGGTATTAATGATTTATTATCCAACAGTATGATTCACATTGTTTTCCTTATTATCTTTGTTCTTCTTTTCTAATTTGTTTAGCTAACCTTTATTTCTCCCATCTATGAAATGTGATCATGCTGTTCAAAATGTATTGGTTCATATGTTGGATAGTTCCTGTAATCTTTATCTTCTCATTTGATTGTCTAGGTTTATCAAAGGGACAATCCATTTTTAAATTTTTGAAAAGCAACTATGTTCCTTCAATAACATTAACATGATCTATTATCGATTGTATTCGGTTTCAGAAGGAGTGAATGCTTGGGTAGACTTGCATGTTAGAATGAAGTAGTTAGCTTAGAATAGCAAATATGGTTTTGAACTCTGGTGATTCAATAACAACTACGAAAATTTACAAAAGAAATAGTTTCATGATGGAGGTATTTCGATTGTGGTTTATTAACTTTGGTGTTTCTGTAACTGAGTACGGTATAGTATATTTCAGTAAGATATTTTAGACAGATATCTCGTCATTTAACTAATAACTTTAAGAGAATAATTCCAAATCATCTATGATTAACAAACAACTCTGTTTAATACATAAATAATAGGACACCGATTACTTGTTATTTAACTTTTAGTTATGGGATTACCCTATTCCATATATTCCAATGATTGGTGAATGCTCTGTTACTATATAAATTACGACTTAAAATTTAGTCGATCACAGTAAAATATCAATTCAAATACAGTAAATATCTTGTGTACTCCATTAAAATTATTCACAGAAATGGGAAGCAATCAAAAAGATACACCATGACTCAGTAGTTAATGCAGTTTATATTTGTGAATAATGTAAATTGAGGTAATTGTCAAACTAACTAGAATGCATAAAAAGTACGGGAGCTTAATAGTGAAAAATTCAATTTTATAAACACGAAGCATAACCAACCCATATTTTATTACTGTTTTTAAGATAGAACCTAGTCCACTAAGAGATGTAGGTTCTCTTCTTTTCTTCTGCACCGATGAAGTGTTAGCTACACTAAATATCAAGCATGGTCTGCCTATAGAAGAACAGTTTGTACGACAGCTTTTATTAGTGCGACTATAGTTTTTCACTGTTTTTATATTTTTTCATGCTTTTGTATTTTCCATTTCCTAAATAAAATTAGTTATTATTTGACCTAACTCCACTAAAATTCTCTTCTTTGTATTTTGGCATGGGTTATGAATATAATGTATAATTCGTTAAACACAAATGAGAATCACTTGTATTACTGGAATTCTTTAGAAAGTTGCTAACGTCCAATTTTCTACTGTATTTAAAGGGAGGTGGGTTGTCATAATCAGTCATTAATTAAAAAGAATTTAATTCTTTTCTTTGTTAGCCCTATGATCATTATTTTTTTCACTAATACAACAGAAGAATCAAATGATCTCAGTTTATCAACTACTATTTCAATAATGAAGTTGAAAGTTCAAAATGGAATAAATTCTTTTATTGCAATTTACCCACACTTACCCATATACAAACTAAACATGTATCATATAGAGCCATTTGAGAGGAATGACGTCAGTACGTTGGAAATTGCTTATCTTCCGAGGGTGTAATACGATCAGAATAATCAGTTTGATTCTCATTTTTAGTTGTGAACAAGAATAACCTGATAAACATAATTACATAATTAATCTTTTTATGACAGGATGACAGTAAATGTCACAGTTTTAGATTCTAGATGATGGCGCCAAATATGGAAATAAACTCAAAGGTGATGGAAAGATTGAATCTGAGTGACTCAGAGATCTCACAGATGTACAGAAAAGTGTATTTGGCAGTTTAATGAGACAAAAACAGTTTCTTGGTCATCTTAGAATATACAAAAATAACAGTTAGGGGATTTGTAGAAAATGTGAGTATCTGTGTAGCTGCTGAGAATCCTCTATCTGTTTACTAAGCATTTGAAGCTGTGATCAGTGCACTTTATTATGACATTCATGTTTTTAATGGTAAGTTTGTGTTGAAACATCAGTGATCAGATTTTATTCATATCTCGTCTACGAGAAACTGAGGTAGTGAATTGAGAATAATGGTAAGTGCATGAACACTGTAAAAATGTGTACACATGGAACTACCATCTGTCCTTCTTGATAATGAGGTATCAAAAAATAATGGGTGACATTCATCTTTCACAGTCTCATAAAACTTCTAATTTCTAGGTTACTGGTGTTAGGAGGTTCAAGCAGATGGTTTAACTTATTGGATTACTTTGTAACATAGTTCGTTGTTGACATATTGGTTCCTTATAAGATGGGAAAGTAGAAAATGAGTTTAGTGGATCTTCTATTGAACGCAGAGTTTCGGTATTTGTATTCGAATAGGTACTTATATACTTAATATTTGTTTCAATCGATTATTTGTCCTCGTAACAGTAGAATAGGATGAATTATTTAAAGGCGAAATCCTAGACTAACTTATTTGTGAGTTATAATTATTAAACTTTTTTCAACAAAGAACCTTTGAAATATTATCAAGCTGAAATATAAGTGCTTTATTGAGCTTTTAATAAACATAATAGTCTTAGAAAAACCAGCTCTTCATATCGTTTTTATTTTTGGGTGGTAATTTAGAAAGCAGAATATAAATACATATAAGACGACTGTAGATCATTCAGATTTGAAATTTAATTCTGAGGAATATTCAAGGAATTCAGTTATAGTTTCATCCGAAAAAAACGTTTATATGAACTACGATTTATCCTCAACAAAGCAATTTATAAGAAATTTCTATATGGTGTCCATCAGAATACAAACTTACCAAATACCTGTTGCATTCATAAGAATAATACTCCACATTGGGCAATTTCCACATATTTAGAAAATGTGTTAAATTACTGGTGAATTTACTATTTGTTAAAATATGAAACACGATTGGATAAATATGTAACATTCTATCATCATAATATGAGGAATTATCATTGAATTTATCACAGAGATCATAGATACAACAATTTTTTAAGTCAAAATGAAATCTTTTTTGATAATAAAAAAGTGATTTGAGAAGACTGTCCATGTAAAAAAGACCCCGTTCACCATCAATTAAAATTGCAATGTGTACCTTGTCATCCTAAAAGTTAAGAAAAAGAAAATATTCTATATATGTCAATGCATTTATGTGTGATATTATAATAGTGTTTCGTCAATGAAACACCGGTTAAAAAGAGTTCAAAGGTTCAACATTCAACATTTCTGAATGACTAAATGGTTCAAGATAGACTCTCTGATATTGCAAAATTTAACTAACTATTGTTATGTTATTAAAATTGACGGTAGTATGTAACACGAAATATACAAAATCAAGACATTTCAGTTTTATAAACGTTCAGCTAAACATCTAAAAATATGTATAAATGTCTTTGCGCGGTGATGGATAGACATTCATGTATATGCTTACTCTTATGAAGACTCTTTTTATCCCTTAATAAATTTGATATAGGAATTCCATGGTAATGGTTTCTCATTTCTCTAAAGGATAGATGATATATGGAACATTGTGATGACGACGTATGGTATTTGAAGTAGCTAGGTTCGTATTAGGTTTTAAATATTTCAATGATAGCACATAATTACACGAAGTAGATATAACTTTTTAATTAAAACAAATCTTAAACAGAAAAATTTATGACAATATGTTTAAACAATTGGGAACTCAGCAGTTCAAACAGGTATTCTTGCCTTTATTTCATTAGAATAAATGGTCATTCAAACAAAATTTATAATTATTATCATTTATCAGCTTAAGTACAAGTGAATTTACTAGTTGTCATCTCTTACCATGAAGTTACCAGCAACCGTTGAAGATCTTGAATGATTCTCATTAACAACAGTACCAATAAAATAATAATAATAATAATAACTCCATGTTAATAATAAGATAATTACTATAATATAAAAAAACGACTTGAAAAGGAAAACATATTTTGTTAGTCGATCAATCATTCTTTTGGGAAACGATGTTCTATCATGAAAGTTTTAAAATAGTTGACAAGCTAAATTTATTATTGACAATTATATGAATAATAACTATTGATTTTATACAGAGTTTTCTACCCTATTACCAATCATTATATGAATCGCAATAGCCTATAATATTTAAGTAATTTACGCCATACTTCTGATTCGTTAATTCTATTTCCACGAGAAAGATTCAGACAAATTATTTATGAACAATGGAGTATTGATAGGGTGTATAATTTCGTTTTTGTAATTGATAGACCTGATGACAGAACAGATCAAGCTAATAATAATAATAATAATAATAATAATAATAATAATAATAATAATCTATGCATTATAAGCAAAGATGGCTAGTGGCTAGCAGTGGAATCCATCTTTGCTTATAATGCTTGTGAATTAAGGCTATATCGAGACAATACGCACAGTATGAACATATGCTATCCTCAAACAACCTCAGTGACCATCTCAATAGCCAAATATAAAAAACATACAAGTTCTAACAGTTCAGTCAAAATAAATCATTGTTTCTTATTTAGTAGTATGACAACATATATTTTCAGTTCGTGTTGTTGAGACTGTCAAATTTCGTCGAACACATGAACCGATAAATATTAAACTACCATCGTAAACTTGGAAGGAATGTACGGGCGTTTCATCCTAGTATGGGACTCCTCATAGCATGAGTGCGAGATCGAAGGTTCTGGGTTTGAATCCCATGTGCGGGATTGTGGATGTGCACTGCTGTGGAGTCTCATACTTAGACAAAATAGCCGTCCAGTGCTTCCAGACCTTCAATGGTGATTTAACATCTATTGGTTCATGATTTCAATGACTACATATAATCTTGATTCTGATAATGCGTTTGTCTAAGTTTCATAGCTTCACAGTATCTCATTTTCGTTGTCATAGACATGGTCATCACCTATATCAAATTCAGTAGTTCGTTTTGGAAATCCGATATTATCCTAAATGATTGAACTGCAATGAGATTTTGGCGACTTCATCTCTGTTATTTTGACCTTTTTAATAACAACTAGTTTAAAGAAGTTGTGCACAGTGACAGTTTATTTACTTAGCTGACTCTCATATTTTTTCCTTTTAAATTACCATATATGATGAAAATTTATAATGCAATGCAACAGTGTTCACTAGTCGATTAAGCTTCAAAGTATGTATAGCGATTAGATAGTATTCATCATTGTCATAATATGATTTGCTATTAAGCGATAAATTACAGTTTATTCACATCGTATTTAAGTCTACCATAGACTGAAATTAAATTTCAAGAAGCCATAAGAGCAGTTGCTATTCGCATCATCAAAAGGAAAATAAACTTGTAATATAACACTAATAAAATAAAAATAGAAATATCGGTTTTGCAACGTTAAATAACAACGTTACTTATACATATTGTGTGATCGCCGGAGTTTTTTGTTAAGTGTTTTTAAAAAAGGGTGTTACTAAATGACGGACAACATTCCGCGAATATATTGGGTACTCTGTCTAAAGTTTATTCAAGAGTACATATTTTATCAGTTGAGGATCAACGAAACATCTCTAACTTCAGAATGCTACCTCAAAGTTCATAAAAGCTAATAAATTTATTACATCGGTTTTGTTAACCTTTTGTTGATTTACTGGGAGTAATCATAATAAAAAAGGCGATTGTTTCGCAAACCAAAGTATTTTTCCGTTTTTATAATGTTATCAAAACTAACTCCAATATAACTCATAACCGGACAAGAGCTGAAACCTTGGCTAAGCCCTAAACATTAGATTAGCTAGACTTTGATACCAATGTAATATAACTCCTTTGGACTCGCATCCTATCCTTTGGTGACAACTGCTTTATTGATGTGGTCTAGAAAATACGGAATGTAACCAATACAAAAACTTCAGTCATATGTACTATAGTTTTATTATTTGTATTTGAATGTCTGGAGTCAGTATATGGATAAGTAAGCTTAACTTTGAATAAAATGTTTTGAAGTCATTTGACCAATTTTGATACTGCTATCATTAAACCTATCACACCAGATACTGTAAGAAAGGTTGTTGATTAACTGATCAAATACATTATCTTTCACTGAAGACATGTATCTGATAAAACTTGAAAAATCTACTTTTGACATGCTCTCAATGAATGTAAAACTATTCATGATAGGTTCATTGGAAATAAAACTGGTTGGCTATTGAATAAAATTCTAACCAATGCAACAAACTACTGTAGAATAAATGATAAAAATGAATATGGGTGGGAAAATCAAGAGAATCTGTCAAGAACTATTGCATAGATAAAGTGCCAGCAGAAGAATGATCTGATACTATATATCAAAACACTACTTTAAGTTCACACGTCTAATATAAGGAAGGTTTTGAAATTTAAGAATCATGAAACTCTTGTTAAATAAATGCACTAAACTTTTATCTTTTTACTTAAATTTTTAATAAGGTACACATTTCTGTCGGTATATCTGTGATGTTGAAGAGTATTTGAATTATAGTATAAACTAGTAATCCCAAGAAGTATTAAATGAGCACGAACGTATGTACTGTATTTGGAATTCAAAATCCAAATAGTCATCAATACAAGGGGATCATTGGTTCATTCAAACACCACAATATATTCCAGTCCTTCTGTAAAGAGGTACCACAACCTGCAGAAAAATATAGAAAAAGATAATTGTTTCTTCAAACGCTCTCTCTTCTACCTTCTAAATATATAGTCTACAAAAAGGTTACTAATAGTTATTGAGTAAGGAATTCTGCCAGTCCACTAACGTATTTCACTTAGTTACTTGTAATTAAGTCTATATTGGACTAAAATTTTTCAGTAACGTAAAATATTGTGCGTAAGAAACTTGTATTATTTTTATAATTCACTTCTACTCTTATCCATCCAAATATATTGGGATATTATGTTAACTGAACTATACGTGGTTTAGAGAGATATTTGTTAAATTTCATAGTTATCAGTGTAAGTTTAGTGAACTAGAACATAGGTGGGGATAACTGGTTGTAATCAGATACAAAATTACAGAATATCTTGGTAAAACATGAGAACCATACATTGAATACTTCATTTGCGAATTTCGATCATTTGTCCTTCACATTCTGTATGATTCTTCCTCTTCACAATTCTTTTCTATTTCCCTTTCAATTCTCTTCAATTTGATCTACTTGGCCTTCTGCTACCAGGGTTTCCACTTCCGATTGGTGCCACATACTACATATGTCTGTTGACATAAGTTGCATACACCAAATAATCACTTGTTAATCCGAGTCCTCGACTCTAATTATCACTGTTGTTGGACGCTAAGAAATTATATTAGTAACTCGCTAATAACTTCTTATCAAATAACCGAATGTCATACATAACAAATTAAATTTAACAGTCACTAAATATTAACTAGGAATAAATCAGTAATCGGGTGGAAACACGTTTTTCTAGGAAATACATCATTCCATGCCATATTTCACAAAGGACATTCCTATTAATATGTTTACTGTAGCTAACAAATAATTGATGAAATTCCTTTGTACGACAAGTTGTCAGTCAGTGATAAACGGTTTTCTCTATCGATGACTTATATGGAAACTAATTATATTTAATAGTTAAGCTGTAGTTTGTAGTGACCTACTTTTATGACCAGAACGCGATTGGTATAATGGAAGCAATTATTATTATAACCAATTATTCCAGTGATTGTTTTACTGTACATATTTGTTTAAGTGTACAAAAGACATACATCCTTCCGTTGCAAGTGACCCTGCACGAACTCGCATACGCACGTTAGTCCCGCTTGCAAACTTTGGCACGTCTCGGTATTCTTTCGATACCACGAGATCGCCAACAAATGTATCTTATTACAACCGTCAACAGCCTTCTGGATTTTGGCCTACGGAGGGATCCGACCTAATATCTGGCACGTAATCTTCCTGTAGTGGTGATCATAGTGAACTAAAAGTTATTGATTATATAGTTACTTGGTTTGTTACTATAAAGTGAGCTAATATTAGGTGATTTATCACAGGTTAAAGATTCATGCACTCCATTGACTCATGTACCTCAACAAAGCATTTACTGTCTAGTCCCTAAACTGATTAAACTTCATAGTTCTAGGTTTGAACACTGATGTGCCTAGGAATTCTCAATTCTCAGGAGTCAAAAACTAGGATTGAACAACCCTACAGTGCTTCTTAATGTTTAATGGCTTTTCTTTTCATTTCATTTTGTGATGAAAATTATTGGTACACTCAGCGATCTCTACAGACTTTCTAAAAAACTAAACATTTCGCTAGATTCATTGCGCGTTTTTATTTATTGTATTTTCACGAATAAAACTGAAATACTTTTATTGTAATATGAAGTTGCATTTTTATTGACGATTTATTACTTATGCTGATTTACTCATACAGTCCAAGAGATGAACGTTGTTTTCCTTTATTGACAATTTTTAATGGTAAACCTTTGTTGTTTGCTGAGATTTTTTTGTTTGTTGATGATTGCTGGTGATGCATATACTTGGATCCGTGCTGCTTATTTATTTGTCTATGAAAAGAACCATGGTTCTTTTTTGTCGGGAATATTACAGAAGAACTGAAGACATTTGACTTATTAGAACTGTTATATAGAGCTGTTAGAACCTGTTTTTTTTGTCTTTAAATTGGGACAATTTGGTATCCCTTTGTCTTTGTTTGGTATTTGGAAGTTTTTGCTCCGGGAATCTAAAAAAATTGAAGAACGATATTTGGGTTGAATACTTGTAATTTGCGAATAAACTTTGATGCTTAAATTGTACTTTGGTTCTACTGTTATTTTGGGTTCGTAAGTTACAGGTAGATCGGCATACTGTGCTTCAATAACGGAAGAGATTAAAATCTTGTACATAACACTTAGGTAAGCTGAATCTCCTGTCAAACTCCATTGATTACCTTTACCCATGTATCACACTTTTGTTCACGTTTTCATTTGTGAATCGATCATCATCATCAATTGCTACTTTTAATAAACAATCGTATGATGTGT